CAGGCTTGGCTGTAAGTGGTTATGGTGACCTGACCTGGGCAGAGTCTGGGTCTGTCACTTGAGTTGGAGACACTAATGGCTGTTCCACATGCCCACCAGGGAGGTACAGGACCTGTGTGAAGGATCCAAGCTGCTTTGAAATATGGAGGGGTTGAAAACAACCTAAATGTCCATTTCTTGAGAGAGTGAAATTGTGTAAGTCTCCCACATACTGTAATATGCTATCCTGCTATAAAAAGCAATGTGGATTGATATTCAAGTTTTGGTGCAGAGTAAAAAGCAGAAAAAGATGACAGACGAGACAGAGATAGATAGATAGATAGACAGACAGACAGATATTTCCCATCAATGGAAGGTAAAAAGGAGCCACACACAGAGCTTGTGCTGTGGATCTATCTGCTTTGTGATTGCCCCAGACGTGGGTGCGGGAGGAGAAAGACCTGTTCCTGCCTCCTAGTGAAGGTATGTGGTGAGTGAGAACTGGATGGGGCTCTTCTGCATGTCACCCTTCAGTCCCACAGGTCCTATTTTTCTGCTTCTTTGCATGCTTGGAAATTTTTGTTTGGGTGACAGGCATTGTAAATTTTACATGTTGCATACTCAATTTCGTCGTGTTTCCATGCAGGGAGGAGTCTGCTGGGGTCAGGAGAGGCAGTCTAAATGTTCCCTCACCACTTGGGCACTGCCCTGGAGCAGCTGTCTGTGGCTACCTTGGGAGAGTCAGGGCTGATGTGAGTGAGCATTGCTGACAGCAACGCTGACCACTCTCCAAGCCCCCAGAGGGACTGATCCTTACCTAGGCATATGGCCTGCCTGTGTCTCCAGGAGTCTTCCAGTTCACAGAAATGAACCCATTTCCTGACAGGGGTTGCCTTGGCTTTCACTACATGCTTTCAGCAGAACAGGTCAAATTAAGATGGGGTCCCTGTCCGCTACAGTCCTATAGATCAGAGCCGAGTGGGAGTGCCCAGAAGAGACCCCCTTTCAGGACCCTTAAATGAACATAACCCCAACAGTCTCTTCAAAGTGCCTTGGTCCTGTCAAGCTCTCGCCAATGTGTCCAAGGTCCTCAGTGCATCCTCCAGGTCCCTCATGACCCAGGTCCTGCCTGATAGAAAATACTCAGCCTTTTTGAACTGATTTCACCTGGACTAGGTATGAAGCCACAAAATAGGCCTCCACAAATGCCAAAGAACCACTGCTACATGGACTCTGCTGTCACAGATGTGATGAAATTAGAAATTAATGATGAAAGGAGGTTGGAAATTTCCACTCCTGTCCACCATGGAAGAAGTGGGCAGACTTTGTTTCACACCTCCAACAGCTACAACTCCAGAGAGAGCATAGGGAACACCAATTTTCAGATGTGGGAAGGAAGGCAGCAAGACAGCCATCCTGTGAAAACACAAAAACTCCCCCAGAACAACTCTAATGTGTGGACAAAGACTCAGAAAACAAAGGCCATCCCGTGACCTGCCAAGTCCTGAGGGAAAGAAGTAGGACAAACAACTTCCCTGCTAGGTAGGTAGAGTCTGCAGCCCCCTGCAGCTTCAGAAGCAGATACAGAAGAGACCACCTATCCCTCAGCAAAAGATGTTTTGGGATTTTGTCTCTTAGTGGGAATTTGAGGCAAGAAATTCGGGGAAAGTACCCAAAGCAGGTCATAGGAAACAGGTAGCTTCCTCACAGGCCATTTCACAGGGAACAGGTGGTCTAGCTCCACCCAGAGCCACCCCAAAACACCCCTTTCACAGTAAAAGCTACAGTAATTACTAACTACAGCATCCTGAATGAGCAGGGTGATTAATTATAACCTAATGCATGTAGGTTGCATCTCATGCATATAATTAGTGATTTCATATGCACAGTACCCCTGTCAATCTGTCAGTCACCAAAAGATACCCCTAAGTACCACCCAAATCTCCACCCCACCCCTGCTCACCTCTTATACTATGTAAATTCCCACCTGAACTAACGCAGGGGGATCTTGAGCCCCAAGTGTCATTCTTGAGCCACCTTGCTCAGAGCCCACTCCACCTCTCCTCTTGTGGAATGCACTTTCACTTTCAATGAAACATTTCTACTGCCTTGCAATTCGTGTGCCTCCATCCAGCACCTTGTTTGGGATGCCAAGGACCTGATATCTTCTCCACCAGGGTCTTCTGAGACCACCCCACTGGTAACACTACTAATGAGAACACAGTGAAATCCAGCACACGATATATAAACTTTATATGCCTAGCATCCAAACAAAAATTACCAAGCATGCAAAGAGGCAGGGAAATAGGACCCCGCAGTCCAAGGAAAAACTAATCCACAGAAATGAGAGAGGTGACAGGGTAAGCAGGCAAGAACACTGAGACAGCAAAAAGAGAAAAAAATGAGGTGAGAGGATCGGAGGAAGGGCCACAGAGCTATAATTACTTGTAGACATTATGACTGACCACACAAAAGAGATACCTAGGAAGAAGAGGCACTCGGCATAGATAGGTTCAATCACTTGCTCAAGGTCACAGGGCTATGAAGTGACAGAGCCAGGAATTGCCAACCAAGAGCCTGGCTCCAGAGACAGAACACAGGAGTCTGGCAGGATTTAGAAAATCGGTTATATTTCTTTACACTAGTAGCAAATGATATGAAAAATGTAACTGGACATGGGTTGTTATTCACAATTACAACCAAACCTATAGAGTGTCTGGACGCCATCACAGAAATTACACAAGACTTTTTCATAAGGTCACCATAATTAATCATTATGCCACACTGAAGACTAGGGGCTCATGGGAAGGGACATGGAGATAAAAGGGATACAGGACTTTTACAGCAAACCGAGATGCATGGCAGACCCACCTAGGAAACTGCGTAAACTTCTACTAAGATCCTAAAGGAAGACATAAATAAAATAAGAAGCAGCACATCTTTTTGATAGGATGGCCATTCCCAAATTAATCTGTATTAATCATGTAGTCATTCAGAAATTTATTTAGGAACTTGGATAACTCATTCTAAAATGCATATGTCCTCCAAAGTCTTCCAGACTTCAAGTGATGCACCTGTGAGTTTGCAGTGAGCCCAGAGGACGGCCTGGACATTGGTGGCTGACTCTCCCACTTCCGACAGGACCACTTTGCCTGCTTGGTTCTGCCTGAGGCCTGAGCTGACGCTGTCCATCAGGATCCCATCAGCTGAACAGAGAAAGCAGGCAGCCAGGAGGCTCACATATGTCTCTTTGTCTGTCTCTGCCATGCCACTCTTTCGGAGTCAATCACAGCCACTCATTCTACACTGAGCTGCAGATTAGGCAGGGGGATCTTCTATCTGTGCAGGACACAAAGTTCCAAGTAGATGGTGTACATATTTGCTGATCATCAGAAACAGTGACCACCCCAAGCACAAAAGGGTCAGACCCTGGCTTTAGGAGGAGGAAGTTCCTTGTTTTATGGTGAACCAGTTGGAAAGGAGAGAGAGGTCACCAGCAAACACTAGGGAGTCCATTCTGTATATCAAGCAAAAAAGGTGTTGGGTGTGGCCCGGGCCATAAGACAGTAGCAGACTGGAGATAAAGAGAAGAAAGAGTAAAGGGAGATGAGGTGGGGGCAGGGTAAGGAGGGTGCTAAGGTCCAATTTAAGCCACAGGTACCGTGCAGGTCTGCACCTGATCTCTCCCTGGGTTGGCCACCATGGGAAGGAGGTGACTCTCCTCCTTCAGTTTGGAATTTCAGCCTCCGCAAGGCTCCTGACCCTCACTGTGGCATGGCTCTCTTCCCAAGAGGTCCTTCTGAGCCCACCATGGCCTGAGTTGGCCCCCATCCTCTCCACAAACCAATCCTGACTTCTCCTGCATCAGCAACCCTCATCCATCTTAGCTCCATAGGACTTTGCCTCTCATGGAGGTGCTGGGATCACAGCCTGGGTGTGATTGCAACAGCTCCTCCTTGTGCCCACCCCACCCCCTACTCCTCTCCTCTCGGTGAACTGAGAACTCCAGCAGACCTGGCATTCCTGTGCTGCTCTTGAGAGCTGGAATTCTGCTGTGCTCCCCAGTACCTGGGAGATATCGAGACCAGATGGTGGGTCTGTTTGATTTACAGGCAGTATAGCAGGCACACTTGACTCTCACACTGATCTATATCTTCCTAATTGGCCTTTGCAATAAGGAAGAGACCTTTCACCTCTCTGTGCCCTGTCTTTTTCCTATTCCTCAATTTTTGTATGTACTTTCAGTTCCCTTAAGACATCACCACCTGTTTGCACCTGGAAGGAGTCACTGACCTTGCCCAAAGCAGATGCTAGGGCTGTGTGCCAGATCACACATTTGTGTTCTGAGAAACACACTTGCATTAAAGATAAAATTTAAATTTAAAGCAAAACTAGGTAAAAGACACAGAGGTCAGAGCAAAGCCAGCAGCTCTGAACCTGGTGAGATGCACCCAGTCATGAGTGCATGCCCTCTGCATACAGAGTTTGGGGGACACAGGCACCCAGGCAGTGACCACACAGGCTCCACTCCTAGAAGGCACCTCCTTGGGAAGCCCTCTGTTCTTGGCCCACCCTCAGTTCATGCACTGCCAGCTGCCCACCCACTGAGATCACATCCCTCCTCTCTTCCCTCTGCCACTGAGCAGTCTGTAGCTTTAAGTGTTTATCTCCATCTTCCTGACTCCTCCTTGCTTCTCCTTGCTGGGAGCAGGGACCCAGATCAACCAGGCAGCCTAAGTTACTGCTGTAACCCAGAGCTCATCAACCCAGTGCTGGGAACTTGTGGCCACCTCAGACTACTTTGGGAACACATGAATAGTGGGTGTGGTGTTACCATACAAAAGGGAGTTGACGGGGATGGAACACGGGCACAGGGGAGGAATGGGCCCCTGTGGAGGGCCATGAGTTTCAGAGTGAGGTGCTTGAGTGGAGACGGAGGTACCAGCCCTCGGGGCCCTGGAGGATGGCTGGCTGCCAGCCTGTGGACTGCAGAGAAGCAAGCAAGATGCAGAATCACCAACCTTTTCCACCAGGTCTTCTGGGGCCTGCTCCTTGAAGAGGCGGATCTTATCTTCGATGCACTTCTTCAGAAGGTCTGCCTTGCTTCTACTCTTGGACCGTGTCTTTCTCGCCTTGGACTGTGGGTAGAGAGGTCAGAGGAAACACTGGCGTGAAGAGAGTCAATGAGTCCAGGGGGCCCTGGGTCTCCCCAAACTAAGGGAAGTGCACACAACTCGCAAGGTACAAAACACTGCCTCAAGCCACAGAAGGCAGAAAAGACATGTATTTCCCTGGAACCAGCTTGGGCTTGGTTTCAGGGCCTTGTGCAAAAGGACGGCTGGGAAGTGTTTAGACAGGTGCTTGGGAAGGTTTCTATGTGGAGGTGACATTTTGCAGAGACTTGAATAGAGTTCAGAGCAAGTTGCACGGAGAGGAAACAGCCAAGTTCAAAGGCTTTGTCTCAGGTTAGGTTCCCTAGGAGGAGGCCTGAGACAGGATGGGCTGCATGCTATTTCCTGAGAAAGTTTTGGGAGCAGCCCAAGAGGAACAAGGGAACCAGGACAGGAAGAGATGGGGCCAAGCAAAGCTGTGGTCTTAGGTCAAGTGCATCCTGGATGCTCCACGTTGGCTCTGGAAGAGAAAGTGAATCCAGGAGTCACCTGCCCTTGAGGCACACAATAGGTCCTTAAGACAATAGTCACCACTGAGGCCCAGTGACAAGAGACCCCTTTTCCTGACCCGCCAGAGCTGAGAAGAGCACTGGTCCCCTGTGCCACTTACAGAGGAGGCTGTGCACCCTCAACTGGCCACCAGCTGTGGCTGAGGGGGTGGGCAATGGGAGGGTAGCATCTTAGACCAGATGCACCTGTTGGCCAGGTGCATCTGACACTCGTGGCTGCTGATGGTCACTGCCCTGGATCAGGAGAGGGCATCCGGGCCTGGCACCAAATGCAGACCTTACGATCGGGACAAGCATGGAGGTTGCAGGAATAGCCAGATTCTACCAAGACAGGAGAATAAGAGGAGAAAGCTCAGAGCCAGAGGAAATGCAGGACCCGGTGGGGTCAGCTTCTGGGAGATGTCCCGCCTCTGCAATCGAGAGGCCAGACACAACCATCCTACCTGCAACTCAGGGGCCGCCAGGGCTTGGTCCAATTTCAGAAACTCTGCTTCCCGCCAGGCAGTCTGGAATTGCTGCTGCAGGACTCGGGCACGGATTTTGGGGAGGGCCAAGCTCCGGTCCATCTGAGCAAAGCAGCTGTGTGCCTCCTGCCTCATCCTCAGCAGCTCCTCCTTGGACAGCGAGAAGGCCGTGCAGCAGAGCTTCCTGTGAGGGGAGAGCAGCGTCACACAATCAAGAGAGAACACGGCCGTGGGATGGGGTGGGGAGGCTGCAGGCTCAAAGTCCATAAGCTAAATCCCTGCCTGGAGGAAGAAGCATCTCTGTTCCTCATCTGACATCCTTTCAGAAGCACTTCTTGAGCATGTAACTTAGGCCGTGTTCAGCACATCATCACCTCAGAGGTGCGATTTAAAGGAGATGAACACGAGGCACCCTTCAGGAGGCAAATGGCCTTCCAGCACTCATGACCTTGACAATAACCTAACCGCACCTTGGAAACAGACAAGAAGATGAAGCACTTCCCAGCAAGCAGCATCCTGTTTGTGGGACGCAGTGGCACAGAGGTGGGTGCTCACCTCAGCGAGAAGTCAGGGAAAGGGGGCTCTCACACTGCGCCCTGCACCAAGGACAGTGACTGGCGCGGCTCAGGTAGCAGCCTTCTTCATGCTGGAAGCTATGTGGGGTACTTTGCTGTTATGGACTGGGTCGAGCCCCCCAAAAGATACGTTCAAGTCCCAAAGCCTGGTTGGTAGCTTGTGAGTGTGGCCTTATTCAGAAATAGGGTTTCTGCGGATGAAATTAAGAAGTGCAGATGAGGTCACACCAGAGTAGAGTCACTTGAAGTCCAAGTGACCTAGGCAGTTGAATGCTTGCTCATTTATTATTCAACAAAATACTCTCTGCAGACAAACATAGATTTCTTTGGGTTTTCCTGGCAATGTCTGTCAACCAGGTTGCCTAAAACATGCATTGTAAATGTTTCAAAATCGAGAAATGTTTGCAAAACGCCCCCCCATGAGAATCCATGGTGAGGTTCACCACGCCCATATCTCAGTATGAAAGGTGGGCCTGGAACTCACCTAGAAAACATTCTTGCAGAAATAGAGTCAGACAGGGATGATGTGGATCTTCAACTAAAAATATTCTGGAGACCCTAAACCTGCACCATGTAACAGCTGTCTCGGGTTCCTCACTTCATGGCCCCTGAGTTTGAAAGCACCTCCGGGAACTGCATCCTGCCCCTGGCCTCTTGCCTCATGGACAGCCTCTGTCCTGCTGTTTGCTGCTTATGTGGAATCCAAAGGCAAAGCCACTACGAAGTTCACCTAAGTCTTATTCCTGTGTTTTCCAACAGCTTGACCCTGTGGGTCTGTCTTAGTCCTCTGCTACCAAGAGAGAGCAGATATGCAGGAGGCAGAACCCTGCCCTGATGGGGTTTTAAGTCAGAGCAGAACTTGGAAAGGAGTCCACACACACACACACACACACACACACACACATACATTCTTTCCCTGGCAAAAAAACATTCCTCCTTATTGATTTCTACCTTTGCTGGCGAGGTTTTCAGTGACCCTGTTTTGCTCGCACCCAGGAAGCTTGTAAAAATGTGTATGAGAACCATGGTGCCAAGCCATTTTTATATAATGCACAATAAAGGCAGGATCTCAGATAAGCCAAGCATTTAAGCAGCTGGCATTGTGCACATTGTGGGTTGACCCACTTTAACCTTCAGAAAAACCACGAAGTGTATTCTGATAGCATTTCTGGTGGGACTTTTGGTTTCCTGCTCAATGGTTCACTCAGTAGCAGTGTTAGAAATGCTCCCTGCAAAATGGATCCAAATGGAGTTTAAGAAACTGATCATCTGGTAACAGGAATGGCACATCTAATTCAAACGCTAGGAACAGGCCACAGTCAAGGGTAACGTGTAAAGAGACTCAGGCTGAACACAGACCAAGCTGAACAAACATGGCCAAGGATGACTCACAGGAAGAGCCACGACTCTTACAGGCTCAGAGAAAGCAGTAGCAAAGATTGGGCAATAAATAAGGCCAGACTCACAAAAGACATGGGATGGAGCTGGAGGCCACTTAACACAAACCAAGAGAAAAATCCCTCTCCACACACACCTGGGGACCTGCTCTCTTGGTAGCGAGTCAGGGCCCAGGGAAGAGCACTGTGCCAGAAGGGGCATGAAACCAAGGCCAATAAGACCTTGGGTAACTTCCACCAGGAAGGGCAACATTGCAGAAAGATGCTCTGTCATTCAATGTCTGCCCACCAGAGAGTCCCCAAGAAGAGCTGAGGCTCCTACCTGGCCGCTTCCCTCATATTTTAAGCCATCTGATGGTCTTTAACCCTGTGCTCCCAAACACCCCCTACCAGACTCAGCGCCGTCACCCACATACCACAGGGAAGAAAGAGGAGACCCAGAGAGGTTAAGTAACTTGCTCCCCCCATACACACACAGCACATGGTGCTGGGACTTCAACACTGCCTGTGCTCATTCCACACTGGCCATTATTTTGGGCCCCCCAGTTTCCCTGAACAAGCACCACAAGTTCTGTGGGTCCCTGTTACATCACTAAGTCTCCTTTACTGGGCTGAACCGAGCCTGAAGGTGCATGAAGAACTGGCATGCTTCTTGAAGAAGCAAAGGGCTATAGACAGGGGTACCTCGCAACTGCCCCCAACCATTTTCAGTGCTTCTGCAGCTTTCTGGAGTCTAAAACATCATGTGTGGCCGATCGGATCCTTTAGTTTCTAGTTACAATGGCAGGAGTGCAGACCAGCTGTACAGCCTTCGCAGGAGTGGAAGTTGTTGCATGGAGCTGGTGTCAATAATGACAACAAATGGCCCAAACGGTGACCCAGTGAATGACAAGGCCAGGCAAAAAGAGGGTACACAGTGGTGTCAGCACTGAGCTGCCTGGACATTGGGTGAACCCAGGAGGGCTTGGAATGACCTCGCCATGAATCCCCTTCCCACTCTGATAAATGTTCTCACCTAACAGCACTTCTTATGGAGGGGACCAGGTGCACTTCCTGCTGGTTCACTGGATTATTCACACAAGTCCATGGCAGACCCCACGGGGCCAGAGTCACTCCCTCCTGTCACTATTAATGCCTCCTCCCACGGCCCTGCTGGTCACTATCATGTGCTCGGCCATCCCAGACTCCAAGGGCTCCCTCCTTTGTTCCCTCCCTCACCAGTAGGGTGGGCAGGGCATCAAGAAAGCCAGGGCCACTCACGTGAAGACCAAGTGCTCCCAGCGCCTCAGCTCAGCCTGCTCCTTGGTGGAGGCCTCCAGTGCATCGTGCTGCAGCCTCTGCCTCACGCCCTGCACCCCCTCCTGGCCCCGGCCCCTCTCCTCGGCCTCCAGCTGCGCGGCCCGGGCAGCCGTCTCCCGGCTATGCTCCTCTAGGATCTGCTGCAGGAAGAGCCAGGGCACACTGCGCTTCAGCAGCTCCTGGGTCATTGCCGAGGTCTGTAGACGCCGCAGCTCCTCAGTGGCCTTCTCGGACAGTGACAAGGTCAGGGCCCGGAGGTCGTCCAGGGCAGCCTGGTCCAGGTGCTCCTGCAGCTCCTCCAGGGCAGCACTGTGCTCGGCTACCATGTTCCTCCACTGGCGCAGGTACTGGCCAGCGTCATCGGCAGCTTGCAGGGCCTCCCCAACCGACAGCTGCGCCTTCTGCTGCTCCTTGTACTGGAGGGAATTTGAGACAGGACAATTAAAAGGGAACAGGGCTCAGTGGGCAGAGCCTTGTGGGAAAACACTTGGAAGATTTGTTGTAGGAGCAGAAAAGGTTTATAGCCTTCCCCCAACAATTTCATGATTAGAAAATTATCTTTAAGAAAATCAAACCAAATATGGTAGAAACTGCATGTCTGGTATTCATCCAACAAGTTTTTATTGAGTAGGTAAAGCCCAGACCAGCTGGGTTCCAATCCTGGCTCCTCTATTCACAAGCTGAGCAACCCAAAGTGAGTGTCTTAGCCTTTCTGGGTCTCCAGTTCCCAATCTATAGGATATAGGATTTGTATTACAGCAGGGGTGTGAAGATCACAGGGGTTGCTCTGTACATGCACAGCCCTTAGAAAAGTGCCTGGAGCAGAATCCACAGCAATGCAGGCCTGCTGTCATTGCTACTGTATGGCAAGCACACAGTAACCACACAGTGTGACATTAGCAGACAAAAGCCACCGTGAGAATGCATGTGAGGCAAACAAGGAAGTCAGTGGAAGCCTTTGGAGGAAGAATCTAAGCAAGACCAGAAGGATGACGTCTCACCTTAGTCAGGTGAAGAGATGAGGAAAGAACTTCCTGGGAGGAAGGACCACAGGTGGAAAGGCTCCCTGGTGGAGAGACCCAGCTTGCACAAAGCGCTGTGTGTGACAGTGGCCCAGACCGTCTCCGTTCTAGTTACGAGAACCTGAGATAGCCTTCCTTTTGTTTACATATCCTGGGGCCAGAAAACCGATCAATTTATTCTCCAAATACTGAGTCAAATATTTACTGACAGCGTTAGGCAGCGTCCTCTGCATCAGGGACACGACATGAATTTTTGCTTTTATGAAGCTCTATCCTAATGCTGGGCCACTTGTGACATTTAGCAAAAGTGACTGCAAAACATAATATTCATGGAAGAGAGCCAGAACCTCTAGCAAGACCTGGAATCCAGCCCTCCTTCCAGAGAGAAACGCCGAGCCAGGCACGCCATCCAGGAAAGTGCTCTGAGCCCACTGTCCTGATTCCTTAACCAGTGGCTCCGAGATGAACAGATGATGCCCAGGATGGGGGAGGTTTCAGGGATCAGAACCTCAGCTCTCTGTTGGGCCTCAAAACTTGGTAAGAAGAAGCAGTTTCTATTGATCCCACTTGCAAGTTTTCTATATCTTGTCCTCTTCCTCCTGACTGGTTCCAGACTAGGCTATGTACCTGGGTTGAAAGGTTCCAGCCGGTTACCTATGTGCCACATTGTGGTCCCGTGCATCCTCCAAACCTGTCCTTACTCCTCAGATCTCAAGGTACTGTGTTTTGGTTCAGGTCCTGGTCAGCTCTCACCTAGCCAAGTGCTAGAGCCTTCCATGGTTCTGTCTTCCCAGGATCCTCCAACACCCTCCAACAGTCTGCTCCCAGGAGCTCCCAAATCACACCCCAAGGCCTCTTTCATTTCCTGAAAGCCCTTCAGCCTTTCCCATTGTCCTTGAGGGAAGGGGAAGCCTGGCACCGCATGCCCCCCCAACTCAGGCAGCTTCCAGGCGGCCCCGCTCCAGTCCTGCCCTCACTCCTCTGTACGATCCAGCCTCATTGAGTTCTGGGAGCTTCCAACACCACAGCACACTCTAACCACCACTTGCAACCTTGTATATGGTGCCCTTGTCTGCATTAAATGCACATTTGTCCTCAGGACTCATTTATGCTGCTCCTGCTCTGGAAAGCTTTCCCAGCTAAGAACCACTGTCTTTTTCATGCCATGAAAGCACACTGTGCATGGAACGTGGTGAGCACGTTAGGACCATGCGCTGTTCGTGTTGGCCTCTCCTCTCTCAAGCTGAGTGGGTTCACATCCAGCAAGAATAGGACTGAGGCCCTAAGACAGACAGGTCTGGGCACAAAGCCCTATATCTCCCATGCAGTAGATATTTGACCTTGACTGCATTACTTAAGATGTCTAAGCCCCAGGATCTCTCTCTCTCTCTCTTTTTTTTTTTTAATAAATGGAACAAACAGTGGTATCTCCCTCCTAGGGTTAGTGTAAGGATTAAAACGAGCCATTTAATGTCACATAGTTGGCACGGTGCTAAGAAAACACTCAATTAGTGTCAGCATTGTCCCATTCACCAGCCCACACTCCTCTCCCTTGTCGTGCAGGCATCGCTAGTCTATGGCAACTCTCTGCTGGGCAGAGGGCCAGTAGGACCTGTGGAATCCCTGACACAGCATTCCAGGAAGTCCTAGCAATCAATCACAGATTCACAGCATTGCACCTGCCCAGCTGTCCTCTTGATGCCAGTGCGCTGGCAGTAGTGCTGGTTGCTCAGGGCATGTTTGGGAAGGTTTTGGGAGGAGTAAGTAGCTTAGTGCCTCTTCTACCTTCAGCAGAAGTTCTCGTCTCCTCTTCATTACTAGTTTTTGGTGGAGCTTTTTCTTTTCCTGCTTTAAGTCATTGTCCAGTTTCTGCTTTATAGAGAAGACTTCTGTCTGCACCCGCTCCAACAGTGTGTCCACTTGACCTTCATCCAAATACCCCGCCCTACATGGAAAAGACAAAACATTAGTGACCACAGGTTCCAGCCCCACCTTTGGCTTGACTATGGCTGTGGCTGAACATGCAGCTCCATGAAGCATGGTTTAAAAAACGTTTATGCCCCAAAAGGAGGAGACGGAGAGGCTGAAGACATGAGTAAAATAACAGCACAGTGAGGTCAGTGTCCGAAGAGACAGGCAGGGAAAGCTAAGACCTGGACAGAAGATGCACAAGAATGAAACCTGCAAGAGTTGTGGGATAAACCTGCAAGAGTGACAACTGAAGAGGCCAGTGGGGCAGACAGAACTTTCCAAGGGGAGATGGTAGATCAGGGGTCGCAGCGTTAGGAGGCGCAGAAACTCAGAGGAAGACATAGAAATGGCAGTGCGAAGGTCGTGACGGCTCGGATCACATGACTTCTGGATGAAGGTAGCATCAGCACGTGAACTCATGGACTTACGCTGTGGTCGCCTCCAACACTCATGTTGACACTGAACTATCAGTGTGACAGAATTAAACATTGGCACCTAAATTCAGGACAATTAACACCATGATCGCAGGAGTGGCTTAGTTATAAGAGAGGGAAATTTGGCCCTCTCTTGCTCTCCTCTCTCTCTCAAGCAAAGTGATGCCTTCTGCCATGTCATGACATAGCAAGAAGGCTGTGAACCAAGTAACTTTTCATAATTCATAATTTACCCAGGCTGTGGCATTCCATCATAGCAGCAAAAAAAGGCACTAAGGCAGCTCTGTGAAGCAGGAGGCCTTCCTAATGTGAGCTAAGGTCCTGAGTAGAACAAAAATGCAGAGGGAGTTGAAATTGGCCCCTTCCTTCCAGCTTATATGGGGCATCTCACATCTTTTCCTGTCCTGGACTAGGATTTGAACCATAACTCCTGGGTTCCCAGCCTCTGACTTAGACTGAATTACATCACCAGTCTTCCTGGGTCTCAGCTTGAGAATGCCAACCTTACACTCACGCCTTTACTCATTTTAGCGTGTCTCATGACCTAAAGACAACATGTACTGCTTACACGAAGTTTGTCTCAGAGAATGCCTGACAGGAATGCTGCAGAGAGGCGAGGGAGCACAGTTACAAGAAACCCACTCCACCACCTTCACCTGACCACGTGGCGCCCCAGTGTTGCTGAGAAAAACCATTCCAACCCAACACAAGCATCTCTGTGTTATTTATACTAAATGCCAAAGGTGAACTCTAGAGCCAGTGTGTGCTAGGGCCCAAGGAGAGGTGGGCACTCCCACCACATGGTCAGCTGAGCCTCCTTCATTGATTGCTCCACTAAATATGGCTGGGAACTTGCTCCAAAATAATCCAGGATGGAGATGTACAGCAACAGCACAACTGTGCAGAAGCTGAATGGTGGGTACACGGGGGCTGTTATGGGGAATCTTAGGTGTCTACTTGACTGGATTGAGAACCACCCGGGATGTCAGTAGAACTCACTGCTGGTGTGTCTGTGAGGACATCTCAGGGACAGTTAGATCCTGAGGGCTGTGACCTAATGAATGACTTCATCCCTTGCAGATTCATAACCTGATGACATCATTGGAGGTGGTGAAAGGTTGAAGGTGGGGCTGGGCTGACAGAGGTAGGTCACTGGGGGCGTGTCCGTGGTAGCTGTGACCTGCCCTGGCTTCTTCCTGCATCACCTTTCTCTGCTTTCCAGCTGCCATGAAGTAAGCCACTAGTGGTTCCTGGGTACTTCACCATGCCCTCCCCATCATGCTGAATTAACATTTCTGAAACCCACAAGCAAAATAAATAATTCCTCCCTTTAAGCAGTTCTCAGGTATTTGTGTCACAGCCATGAAGAGCAACTAACACAGCGTTTCATCCATTTACCCATGGCTGCTTTCTACACTGCAGAGGATTTGAACAACTAGAGAATTCTTTTTAAGAATGAAGTGTGAGAGCCTTTGCACACGCTGAGCAGACCGAGGTGGGCAGCACCTGGACAGTGGCCTCGCAGGGGGACATGGGTTTTACCTCTCATGCTTCTGGATGAGGTGTGTCAGCTGGGTGGATGCGGCGTCCAGGAGGCCTTGCACACGGGTGTCTGTGGACTGCAGGTTCCGAACCAAGTACTCTCTGTGGCCAAACCTCTTACTCAGATGACACCTCTTGGTGGCCTGGAAGAAGTCCATTAACTCGTCCACATTCTCCTGTTAAAATTGTTTCAAGTCTGCTTAGTTATAACGTTGAGAAACACCTTTGTCAGCATTTGAAGTACTACATTTCCTTTCAGAAGAAAGTACACTACACGGGAACCACACTGGGACGAACACCTTTAACTTCCACCTGTGACAGAGGCTCATAAGAAGGTGATGTGCAGACAGGAAGAGAGCTTTGAGAAGTGCACTCTGGACTAAATGCAAGGGTTACCGGACTAACTTTCCTGCCCCACCAACAGGACGCACATCCACCCTTTTGGCCTCTGACCCCCAGGGGCCTCCCCACAGTGCTGTGCCCAGGCTGGGTGTGGGCGTTCTGGGGTGAATTGGCCACTGGCCTGACCCCCCAGGTGCTACTCCACTCTCGGAGGAGATGAGATGAGCAGGACAGCCACAAAGGGCAGCAAGAAATTTCCCCGATCTGCAGGGTAAGCAAGATCTGACCAAACGCAGGAGGCTGAATAGGCGGGCTCACACTGGCGGTGCTCTCTGGGCGCTTCATGCCTTGCCCAAGTTGATCTAGGAGGTATCATTACCTCTATTTCAGAGACAAGGAAACCAAGCCTGCATCGCACAGCTGGGTCAGAAGCAGCAATCTGATCGCAGGGCCCGTGCACTAACATCAGCTGGCTACGTCCCAGAGCACGGTTTTAACCCAGCACAGTGGTGACCCTGGCCCCCTTAGACTAGCCACGTCAGTGGTACTGTCGCTTCCACCTACGGAAACACTGTCCACACAATGGGCTAGCAAAAGGATGGACAGACATCTTGTTCAATGGAAATGGACATCCTTCTTCCCACACAAGACTCTCGACATCTTCAGGTCTCAATACTTGAGGCGCAGTCCTACCCAGTGAAAAGCTGGGCGGTCAGTCAGAGTGGCACAAGGCTAACCTCTTCCTGGGGGTTCCAGGGCCCAGCAGCAGCATGCTAGGACTGTGGCAGGAGCCTTCTCACCTCCTCTCCATAGAACTGGATCCTCAGGCTGGCTGGTACGAGCCCAGCAGGAAGGCGATGCTGAGCTGCCATCCAGACACTCTGACCGTGTGGTCTGTACCACAGTACAGCAGCGACCTCTTCAACCACCACCACGGTACAAACGACGAAGCACGCCTCCTGCCACTTTCTCATCAAGAGTCAGCACTGCCCATCACGGGACTGAAATAACCACAGAACCGCTGGCATCTGGGTGACACGTGTGGCCGAGAGGAACGCCCCACATGTGAAGATGATGCCTCTTTACTCTCCCGGAAGGTTTGGGGGGGGAATCGTAGGTCAGAACGCAGAGACTGGAGTGTTCGCTTCCCTCCTGAGAGCCCCCTGAGCGTGGCCCTCAGCAGGATGTCACCTGCTCTCCCCCTGGATGCCCTGCTCCATCTTGGCCCTGCTCACCCAGCCTCTTAAGACCACAAATCTGGCAGTGGCCTCACTGACCCTGGGAACTGGCACGCCAGCCTTGGGCACCTTTGTCAAGGGTTAGGTGAACCGATGAGTCCCTCGCCAGAGCTCTTACACATGCAGCTGTGCACTGCTGTGTCTGCATCTCCTCCACTGTTCTAGTCCACTTCCCACCACTGCTTAGGCAAGGGCAGTGACAGGGAGGCTGGTCACACGCCTTGATTCACCCGGGACGATCACAGCTCATCATGAGACTGGTGGGGTTCTTCAAAGGGAAGAAATTAACCAGCCACCTGGGACAATTTTCACTTGTAAAGATACAGCTGAAACGGCCAGGTGACGGCTCCATCAGAAAACTGCTCAGGGACCACTTTTACACTCATGAGAGTGTTTCATAGCTGAAACACGAATTTTCATGAAGCAAGAGTTTGCTCTTAATAATCCTTGTCATGGCCTGGAGCAAGTGGTCAGTGCCAGTGGGCACCCGGAGTGCAGTGACGAGGGCACCTCACATACCAGCAACTTCATGTGTGCTCCTGTGCACATGAACGGCCCTATGCAGGCCTCATAGGAGACTCCACTCCAATGCCAGGACACAAAGAAACTCTCTCACCACCATGCAGGAAGTCATTCCTGTCTGGATTAGTAACATCCACACTCAAGCTTATGTGCAAACACACACACAAATTCACCCACACAGCTGGGTGCTGGTGCTTACACCTGTAATACTAGCTACTTGGGAGGCAGAGTTGGGAGGATCTCAGTTCAAGGCCAGCCCAGGCAAATAGTTTGTGAGACCCTATCTCAAAAATACCAACACAATAAAGGGCTGGTGGAGTCGCTCAAGTGGTAGAGCATCTGCCTAGCAAGCATGAGGCTGAGTTCAAAGCCCAGTATCACCAAAAAAAAAAAAAAAAAACACTTCACCCACACATGTCTAGACAGATCCCAAGCCCTAGGTAGGTAGGCATCAGTGCACACACATGTAAGTTACCCATCTTTTTACAGCTCTGTACATTAATCACATCTTGTGCCAAGCACTGACTTTTGTTGAATCTTCATGGCACCCCTGTGAGTGAGGGTATTCTATTATACCCATTTCACAGGTGGGGAAATTGAGGCTCAGAAGTTGGGTAACCTGCCCAAGAATACCACAGGTGATAAAGGTGGGCGTGGAATCAAACCAGGTCACTCTGAGCCCACAGCCTATGCTCCCAGCCACCAACTTCCCAGTGTACTAGACACTCACTCCCAGGTCACAAGGAAGAAGAGAAAGCTCACAGGACATGGCACAAGGGACTGCTAGGATTTAACAATGGGGGGCGGTGACTTCCAGAAAGAGTTTGGAGAGTGGCTCCACTTGTGGGAAGCCAAACAGAGTCATTACCTGTGTTTCAGAATACTCCTGCAGCACAGCCTCAGCCGCCTCTGGCTTCAGTTCCCCTTTGAACACAGCACTTTGTATCTGGGTGAAGAAGATACCGTGCAACTCATTTCTCTGGGAAATAGCCAGCTGCCTGTGAGCCTGGGCGAAGTCTTCTTCCTGGCGCAAAGCAAGAGACCTCATCAGGTGCTCCTGCTCCAGGCCATGGAGGGTCCGCAGAAGGCTGCTGCACTCAGCGGCAGACTGCGGGAGAAGAGGAAGCACGTGAGAGAGGGAAGATGCGACAAGCACGGATGTGCACACACGTACACACCACACCATGTGTGCAGCACACAGACCCACACATCAGGTGTGCAACACGCACACCTTCAGTACATCAAGTGCATGCACACACTACATTGGGTATGCTTGCTGCACATGTGCACTGTACACATACACACAGGCACATGTATGTCTGTGCACATGTGTTGCACATACAGCTACACAGTGCACACACACACATGCCAGAACACGCTCACATGGAACACACATGTGCACACACACACACACTGTCCCAAGCTGACAAGGACCGTTCCAACCTGCCGTCCCTGTTATCTGAATATCTTTCCAGAACAATCACAGAGCAAAAATTCACAGGGGTGGAAATGTGCAAATTAAAAGCACTTGAGGACAGCCTGCACGGAAGGAATGAGAACCTCTTCAGCACCGGGGGCTCTCGCAGTTAGGCTCAAGTTATCCCCGTCATCTTTTGTTCTCAACCTATGTGAAGGCAATGACTGCAGTCAGCCTGAGCTCAGACCTTTTGGGGAAGAAGAGGCAAAAGTGGTGCTGAGATTGGTACCAGGCTGCCTGGGCAGGAAGTGGCCCAGCGAGAGGAAAGGAAGGAACAAGCTGCCAAGTTCCCAGGACAGCCACACCCCATCCTCAAGCAGGGCTGTTCTTCCCCCTCGTGGGTGTGTGGGCAGGGTCCTAGGATGACCCCTTGGGTTCCCTGGTATACCTCATGTAAATTCTCACCCCTGGAGTGTGGGTAGAAATCTGAGTGTGATGGGAGTCCCTTCTGTGATCAGGTTACCTTATAGGGAAAGGTGAAGGTGTCTTGATGGCAGTTAGGACCCAGGGAGCCCGACCTGGTGAGCCTGATTTCAGCAGGTGAGAGTCCTCACAGAGTAAAGCACCCTCCCTGAAGGCAGAGACGGACCCTCTCCTGCTGGCCTTAAATAATCTAACCGTCATGCTGTGAGCCATCCACAGCCAATGAAGGCTTCCAGGAACACTCACAAGGACTAAATCCTGCCCACAGTTCCAGAGGACACAACCCAGCTGAGACGCTGATGGCAGCTTTGGACCCAGCTGAGCTGTGCCAGACTCCTGACCATCTCAACAGTGAGATGGTGGGTGGACATCGTTTTAAGGCACTGCATGTGGGTGGTTCATGACACAGCCATTGGAAACAAACACACCACTCTACAGAGACAGACGCACACCTCAGAGAGGCTCAGAGCCCTTCCCAAACTCCCTGCTGCTTGGGGGGTACAAGGCAGCCAAAGCAAACCCTCAGGCTCTGGGTTCTGAAAGCACACGGGCGGTGGACAGCGCACGGTGGTGAACAGTGGCAGGGACAGGTGTGCAGGTGCTCAGGTATGCAGGAGGTGGGGACGCAGCTACCCAAATACTCACTATGGGCTTGGCCATGGGTAGTGGGAGGAGTGGGCAGTGCCATGGCCCGGCTGAACATAGCCAGGAAGCCAGAGGGGCCGTGACACACAGAGCCAGGGCCGGAGCTTCTCCACTCTGGACACTAAGCTAGAGTGTCCAGCTCCCCATACTCTACACAGCCTCAGTCCCCGGCCCCCAGCATCCCATGTCACAGACCTGCCCACCTCCCACTCCACTGCCTCAGGAAAGCCTACACAGGTGACATGCTCATCTCTGTTTCTGTCTTTCCAATTCCTTTTACTTTTCAATTGGTTGAGAATCTGGGCAGGAGAGAGAAGCACTGCCTATCCAGACCTCCAGAGAAACTCAACAGTCCACACGCAGCATCCCTGCCCTAGAGGCCATCACAGCAGAGTCTGGTGGACAGGCAGAGCAGCAGTCATAAGGCTGGAAGCCAGGGGCTTTCATCACCGTCCACACCGCCAGGGTCTATCCAAACACTAATGGTTTACCTTGGCCACTAAATAGCAACTGAGTCTATTTTAAAAGCTGGTTTTACAAAAAGGATCATATTAGACTTCCAAAGTCACGCTGTTGCACAGAAATGTTATTTGCAAACGACTAGATCTAAATCAAAGAATGCAGTTCAAGCTGGGTACCCGTGGCTCACACCTGTATCCTAGCTACTTGGGAGGATCTCAGTTCAAGGCCAGTCTGTGCAAATGGTTCTCAAGACCCCATCTCCAAAATAACAGAGCAAAATGAACTGGAGGCGTGACTTAAGCAGTACAGCAGCACCTGCTTTGCAAGTGTGAAGCCCTGAGTTCAAACCCCAGTCCCAATAAAAAACAAAACAAAAAACCTGCAGCTCACCAAGGGCATGGGGGAGGGGGGAAGCTGGTGCCATTAAGCCAATTCTGCCATCAAAGGGACTTTCTGTTGTGATAGAAGACACTGGAGATCTTTGCTTCTAGCTCTTTGAGATGCATGGTTCATTCCCCTTAGCTTACAAGTCACCCTGCTGTGGTAGTCACATGCCTTCTGGAAGGTCAGAGCAAGGCTCTGAGTACAGCAACCAACCAGTGCAGTCTACATTCCTCATGGCTCACCATGGCCTCGCGGTGGAGACACGCTCTGCAAACCATAAGGAATGACAGAATTTAAATTTGAGTAGATTTCATCTCTATTCTCTTCCCTGGAATTCCTAAGCCTTCCTCCAAGAAAACTGGTATTTCTTAGTTTGCTTTTTTTTTTCTTTTTTTCTTAAATGAATTCTGGAGGAAGTAACAGATCCAAAACATTTTTCTGTGTTTTATTGAAGGGCGACTTCAGTACGTGACAGATCACTACAAGGTGACCTGTGATTTTGTATGATGGAGTGGCTCAAGTGACTAAAGTTCTGTTAACTTTTGTGACTCACATTTTTGCAAGAAGACTGGTTCAAATAGTGGTTTGTGCCTAAATAGGCCAGTAGCAAAGTGGAGGTGAGGCTGGGAGTAGGCTGCACCAGGGCCTGCAGAAGGCAAATAAGGGACTTACCTAAGAATCTTATGAGACCATCCTGGATTATTTGAGTGGGCCTTAAATCCAGTGACATTGGATGAGTCCCAAACTCAGTAACAAGTGCCCTTGTAAGAGACAGAATAGGAGATGGCAGGGTCCCAGGAAAAAGCCATGAGAAGATGGAGCAGAGGTTAAAGTGACACAGTGACAACCCAAGGCACACCAGGCCAAACGAAGAAGCCTCTCCTAAAGACTGAGGATGGGACATGGCCTTGTCAATGTTCGTTGACTTTCTGACCGTTTGAGCCACAAAGGATAAATTTCTGCTGTTTTATGTCACCAAATTTGTGGTAATTTGTTTTGGCAGTCACCAGAGACTAATACAGAAGTCAAACAGCCCACAGCCATACCCTAAAACAAGATTGCATTAAGGCCAGGAGGGTCCAGGTGCGGAAAGCAGGTGGGGGTGACAGTGAATACCACCCTGATCTTTCCCACCCAGCCCACATCTGAGCAATGCCACCTGTGACCATGAGCTATTTAATCACTTCTAGGCAAAACTCCCCTGTTTGGTTGGCATAAGGGGAGTAGAAGCAAAATGCAGGAGCTGGTTTCTTTTCCCTCCCTCCCTCCCTTCCTTCCTTTTTTTTTGATGGTACTGGCTTTAAGCTTGCTAGGCAGACACTCTACCACTTGAGCCAGACTTTTTGCACTGGTTATTTTTGAGATAGGGTCTTGCTTTATTCCCAGGCCAGCCTGAACCACAAGCATCTTATTTATGCTTCCTTTAGTAGCTGGGATGACAGAGGTGTGCCACTGCACAGCTATTGGTTGAGATAGGGTCTTGAGAACTTTTTGCAAGGGCTGGCCTCAAACCACAATCCTCCTGAACTCCCACTCCCAGGTTGCTAGGATTACAGGCATGACCCATTGCACCCAGCTTAGGAACTGATTTCTAAGCAGCTGTGGAGCCTCCCTAGGATGGTAGGTGTTCAGAGCAGGATATGCAGGCTCAAGTCACACTGCCTGAGTAAACTATCTTTCCCAGAGGAAGGCAGGAACCAGGGTTGATCTGGGATGCCTGAGAAGAATCTGCTTCTTCTAAGGCAGCGACAGATGCTGCTTTTGGAAGAATGAGGGCTATTCTCTGAACAACACAGGTCAGCTTGGGGAGATTCCACAACCAGAACTCTGAGAACCCGGTGCCTTCTGCCACCTGGGGCATAGGTGGCTGCTTCTCCTACATCCACCTCTCCCAGGCTACCTGAGAGTGGAGCCGCTAGACTTTGAAAGAGGAGCTAAGGCATTCAGGAGTAGAAGCAAGAAACTGTGAGTCCAGTTTGTCTGACTCCAGATCTGTGCAGGAGAGAACTGTGATTCAGCAGACTATAGACCAGACAAGGATGCACATGCTTTGTCATTACAACCACCTCTGCCACCGAGGCCTTTCCACTCTCCCATGACCTTCCACAGCACCATGAACAGAGCTGTGGTCTAACATGGCTATCTGGTGTAACATTTTTCATATGCAAGGGTCCTTCATTAGATTATGAATTTCTTGAATGCAAAGCCAAGTCTCATTCAACTCTGTAACTGCAGGGCCTAGCCTAGTGCTAAGAGATGATCAGTGGTCAATAAACGCTTGCTAAATGAATCCTGGATGGATGGATGGATTGATGGATGGAAGGATGGATGGATGAATAGCTATGAGGATGTGTGCGTGGGTGGGTGTACAGATGGATAAATAGGTTGGTGGTGGATAGGTGGATGGATGGATGGGTAGATGGGCAGATGGATGAACAGATGGGTGGATTTGTGGGCTGGTGGATGGGTGAGTGGATGGATGAGTACGTAGTTGGACAGATAGATGGAGGGATGGATGGATGGATGGATGGATGGATGGGTAGATGGGCAGGTAGATGGACAGATGGGTGGATGTATGGGCTGGTGGGTGGAAGGGTGAGTAGATGGATGAGTGGGTGGATGGACAAATGGGTAGATGGATGGGTGGATGGGTGGGTAGATAGACAGATGGGTAGATGGATGGGAAGATAGGTAACTAGATGAGTAGATGGATAGGAGGGTGGATGGGTAAATGGGTGGGTAAATAAATGATGGACCCCTAAAGAGGAGGCACAGGAATACTGTCAGAGCCGCCTTACCCGCTCACTAACTCGTTTCAGCAGCTCTTCTGCTTCCTCCATCGCCACCATCTCCCTGTGATACTGGCTTTCTGTCTTCTTTCTTGCTTCCAGGTCGCATTCAGCTGTCAACGCCAACATCTTTCGATCGTACTCCTCTTGTATTTCCTTTTCCAGCAGCAGAAACTGCTTTTTGAAAATAGCACCCATCCTCCTCTCCACTTGGGGAGAGAGATGGCCAGCACTGGTCAGATTTTTCAATAGGAGGGCAATGATATCCTTGCTGATTTGGGTCCTACAAGCCTCCAGATCTGCATCCGCCCGGTTCAGGGTTGCAATCTCCAACCTAAGAAACAACGTAAGTCAAAAGAACTCCATTGCATGAAGCCACCACAGAAACCAACTATTTGTAGGTAAGGCCTTTCTTTCTTCCTAGTCTCTCCTCTTCCTTTCTTCCCTCCCTTCTGCTCCATTCACTTACTGAACACCAGTCACTAAGTTAGCAGGTTCTTACTTAGTAAATGTGTAAGGTACCATGCCTGGAACAATGGTCTTTGCCAACAAGTAACAAACAAGTCCACAAGAATGTCAAGGAGAAAAGAGAGAGCTAATATGTTTGGAGGATATAAAAATATTTTATTTGACTTTTTATCCTATTAAAAACTAATTTATGGACATGACAACTAAATATAATATATCCTGGATGAGTTCCTGGAGCAGAAAAGAACATCAGATTAAAAACTAAGCCTGGCCTTCAATTCATAATGATGATTTGAAATTTGGTTTATTCATTGTAACAGATGTACTTACTAACATAAGATATTAATGGTAAATAAACCCAGGTACAGGATATACTGGAACTCTCTGTGTTATCATCTCAATTGTTTCTGTAAATCTGAAAGCAGTCTAAAAATACAGGCTACCTGAGAAGTAACTGTTAGATACCTGCAGGGCCACAGTGTTTCTGAGGATTGTGTGAGTTGGTGGCACCACTCTGCACACAGTAACACAACAGCCTGCACTCATAAATTGGTGAGTTTTATGGTTTGTGAAAGAAATTTCTATGAGAGCTAGAGAAAAATGTACAGGAAAAATTAATTTATTCTCACGATTAAAAAAATCTAGACAATAAAGACACATAGAAGACGACTTCATTCACAGTAAGTCCATCGTTCTATCAGTCATTGCTGAGGTTTGTTAGATAATCCTCCAAGGGACACCTCTCCCATAAATGCACACTACTTATACAGATGAGTACAATTTTGTCTTTTTTTCTCAATTAACATTGTACTGTTTTCCAGTGGAATTTAAAAACTACAAGAGTTTCTGTTACAGCGTTTGCAAAATATTTCATCACGTGGAGTGTCACTGTTTAACCATTCTTCTATTGCTGTAGGTTCAGGTTATTTGCAAATTTCAAAATTTGTAGTAAACATCTTTGTGCAGAATTATTAATTTTCTCTGTGCATATCCCTACGAAAGAAATCACTAGGCCCAAGGTCAGGGTCAGTTCGAAGCCTCTTAGAAACACCTGCCAATGCTTTCCAGGTTCTCAGTGCAAATGCACTGGGGACTTCCTCCCCACATCCTCTACATCCATCTGATAGGAGAGAATAGCATTTGACTGTAAAGACAGAGGGTTTTAAGGACATTATTATGGAAATTTTCAAGCACTTGAAAGTGAAGAGAATGTAACCCCCATATTACCTAGCTTCAAAAATGTCAATTTTACACTCTTTTGTATCCCTTTGACATGTGTTTGAACATTTTAAAGCAAATCTTAGATGTGTCATTTTACCTGTACACAACTCAGCATGTTCCCTTCATTGTCAAGGAGAAAGACAGAGACAGACAGATACATATAAACAGAGATAGGGAAACAGGTGTCTATTTATCTTTTACCTAAAGAGTGGCAGAAAAATAGCAAAAATGCTGACTATTTTAAGTCAAAAGCACTTCAAAAAATAAGTAAAAGCAAGTAAGAGACCATGCTGACTCTTGTGCCTTGACTTAAAAGCAGGAGGTGAGCTCCCCACATCAAGGTCGCCCTCCCCGCACCATTATCATCAGGGATGGACAATGGACTCCGTTCTTTCTTCAGCCTCCACCATAATTTAGTGAGTTTTTCACACCTTGCTATTCTTTGTCCAATTCGGTGTATGTGTTCAACTCTAGCTGCTTCTTTGGGCCTTTGTTTCTCTATGAGGGCTCCATGTCACATAAAACTTTATCTTTTGTCTATTTAATTATCAAGATCAGCCCAAGACCCTACGCATAGAGGGAGAATTTTGACTTCCCTGCATTATCACATGAAAATATTTCAGATAATTCCAACAATGAATATGGTGTCATGACCATCATTATTCAAATGATCTGGAATGTCGCCTGTGTCTTTTTACACTTGAAGCACACAAACCCCTCAGAGTTGGTGAAACCACCTGATTCCACGCTCTGGTCTCAGGCTTTTCTTCCAAGCCACTGATTGGCCAGTTGGGGAAACCAGGTCCTCATCCCGCAAAATAGGCCACTTTGTGAAGATGGCCGACTGCATCCTCGGGGCGTCACTGCACATCTACCCATGTTTCCTGTAAACTAGATCCAAAGTCTTGACTAGCCAGATTCAATTTATTTTCCTATATACCCCATAAGTGGCACTGTGACTTCCTACAAGGTGATGCTGATATGAACCACAGTGCAAGTGGTGCTTTCGCGATGTTTGCACCAGAAAATCTCCTGTTGACTTCATCTAATGGCTTTAGCATTCATTTCTAATTTTTACCTAATGTCCATGATTTCATTAAAGGCTAAAAAAAAAACCTATTCCAACTCCTTCATTTCCTCTGCATTTTTAAGCTGGTATTCTTTAAAAAGAACTTTGCCAAGCATCCTGGTACACGTCTGTAATCCCAACACTCAGGAGGCTGAGGCAGGTGAGTCACAAGTTCCAGGCCAGTCTGGGCTACACAGTGAGACTGTCTCAGAGCACAAAATAAATAAAAAAGAAAAAGAACTTTCAACAATAACTCACTGATAATTCTAACATCAACTACACAGGAAGGATAGATATTTGATTCTTCCCTTTATATGTTATCAATTTTCTTTTTTTTTATTATTTTATTATTTATATGTGCATACAAGGCTTGGGTCATTTCTCCCCCCTGCCCCCACCCCATGTTATCAATTTTCTAATTGATTTTCAGGTGATGTAGCAACCTCCAATGATGATGAAGGAATCCAGGTCTGTTTGCCTGTTTCATTTTGTTTTATTATAACACTTTTCTCAACACCCTGAGTGTCTGAGCATGAGTCCTCATGAGGACAAACATCGATGTGTCACCAGGCAGCACAGCTTACAGAAAAATGACACCTGACTGCTAAATAGCCAATTATTAAACTTCCGTGGAGGGACCTATAAGTAAACCATAAATACCTAACTAGGTGACACGATTTGAGCTTTCCTGAACGAGGTGACACTCAGAACTGAGCTTGTCCCTTGAGGGAATACTGGGAGCCATCTCCTTGTAGAAACCCTGGGAGCGGTCCCGTGGGTTGCTGTGAGTGAGGTTGGCACCTGTGGAGGATGGAGCTAAAGCCCTTGAGCCAGGAAGACCCTTACACCTCCTAGCGTGGGCTGCATCTCCTGGGTGAGAAACACCTTTGCGACAGCTGTATGGACTGCAGTGTGACCTGTGGCAACAGCACCCACTGGAGAAGAATGCCTAATGTCCTCACAGGAAGTCATGTTCCATCCTCATGCCTTCCGAGTAGATGGGCTGAGGGTAGACTACAGAGGTCCTGGGAGTCTAGCAGTTTCGCTGGACGTAGGAGGACACCTGTCTCTGTGTAGTATTGCAGGTGATGTGTGTGTGGCAGGTTTTAGTCTACCACAGTCATTATTTTTTGTTTTGTTTTGAATAGCAACCATTTACAAGCAATTTAGTTATTACACAAGCATATGAATGCCTACTGTGCCCTAGGCACTATGCCAAGACCAAGGTCATGCACTCTAATTAGCAAAAAAGAATTAGGGACCACCTAAAGCAGTAGATCCAGCTATGAGTGCCAATCATGGAGGTCCTGGGGGTCCTGGGTAAGAGAAGAAAGGAAGGGGCTGATGGAGTAGCTCGATTGGTAAAGCACCTGCCTAGCAAGTATGAGGCCCTGAGTTTATACCCCAGTATCACCAAAAAGAAAAAAAAGAGAGAGAGAGACAGAGAGAGAGAGAAGAAAGGAAGACTTCCAGAGAATGTGATCTAAGAACAGGACTGGCCAAGGAGGAGCTGAAGAGAGGGTCCTCCAGAGAACAGAGCATCACAAAGATGGCCCAGGCAAAACCACTGTTCTGGTGGCTTTACAGACAGATTCTTAGAGATCATCCATCCAGACCCACTCTAGCCTTTCTGTGGTTGCTTTCTTTCCAGTTGATTCAGGTTCTATAGTTTGGTGAGAATGGACTTTTAGCCCAGGCGTCCAAACAGAGAGGAAGGCCTACATCAGTCTGAGCAGAGTTTTAAGCAGGGGCAGAGCTTAATTCATTGTGTTTGAAAAGTAGGCTCCAGAGATGAGGAGCAGGAGGTACAAAGCCTGACAATGGTTCCAGTGCCTTGTGACATCACAGTTAAGGCAAGTGACCATGTACAGGCCCTTGGCCAGCAGCATTCTCTGAGGCCCACCTAGGCCAGGAGGCCCACCTAGGCCAGAAGGCCCAGAGCTGAATGGCAAGGCAGGAGAGGTAAGCTGGGCCTCCATGGACCACCAGCATGGCAGCAGGCTTCCCTGAGGATGGAGAGTAGGACGTGCCACCCAGAGACCCACCTGAAATTGGGACCTGGAGAGCAGGTGGCCCAGCTGCAAATGGACTTCATTTGGTCTCCACTCTCAGGTGCCTGGCAGCCCTGCCACCATGTTAGCGGCCATTTGGCTGGCTCTGTGAGCCTGACGGTGTCCTCAGGCCTCATCCTCTTCTTTCCTCAGTTTACTCAAGGTGCCAATGTGAACTCACCACGAAACGTCTTTGACTTGTGTTTGTTTTGCTCGCCCAGTTTCATCAGTGTTCCCCTGAGTTCCCGGGTTATTTGGGAACAGGAATGTGGACCGCCAGCCCTTCCACTTCTGGATTCAGATCCCTTCCACTTTCTCTAGCAGTCTCAGGAGCTGTGGCTGTCAACTCTGGGAAGTCGGCTGCATACACCGAAGTCAACAGTGGTGACCTCATTGAGACCTGGCTGCTGTGGTTTAAAGAAGGCTCCCAGCAGCAGGGACCACAGCATCACCAGGAGTGAGGGCCCCCCGAGTAATATGACCACAGCCTCTGGGGAGGCCCTAGCGCTGAGGGTCCTGTTGAAA